GAATGACAAAAAAAAAAAAAAAAGAAGAAGAAGAAGAAGAAGGCTTACCTCCAGATCACACGTTGACTTGCACCATAACTTGCCCACCAGACAGCATTAGAAGGTGAATAGGTCATGACAGAAAGACCAAAGCCTCTGTATAATCCTCGAATACCTTCAGATTTAATAATCTTACGAGCAACGTCCAGGCCCCCACTATAAGTCGCATGGCCGGAATATCCTTGGACCATCAATCTTTGACTAACCTTTTTTCAAATTATCAGTTGGATCGAATTTAAGCCACTCAATACATTTCAGAATTGTATTGATGGTAAGTAAATCACAAATCTAAGACACATTTATTTTACTTTTCAAAGAACAATTGGGTCACTAATTATATAATAATAATGATAATAGAACTGGTCAGGGAACCAAAAATATAAAGAAACATGAATAAAATGTCAATTAAATATCAAATGCTACCGAGTTTTACTTTCATTTAAATAATTCAGTCTAAATCACGTGATAAATCATTCTGATCAAAGAAAAATAACCAAGGGCATTCCACATCACCAATCTAGATTGATTTGGAAAAGAAGTATACACATTAAACTAAGTGAAGCATACCACATCAACGGGAACAAATACAGCTTGTGAGCACAAAGCAGCCATCATGCCAGCAATCCCATTTGCCACAGCTGCCTGTGTAGGCTCTGACAATCTCAAAGGTTCCACCAACTTGAAAGCAGCCACTTTTGTTGTCTCTAATGCGGTAAGAAATATAATCCTAGCTGGCACTGCCCCAGTAATTACGGTCCCGAAGCCTTTATATAATCCGGGGATCCCATCTGTTTTCAGCAGGCCCTTGATGACAGAAAATGCATTTCTTTCTAAGGCGTCGTGTGTACTTACTTGCAACCTCGTCTTCACAACCGAGATCGGATAAAGTGCTACAGTAACTCCAGTAAAAATTCCAGCTCCAACAACATAGAACTTTGTTTTATCAAGTCTGAACAACAAAAGAACATAAGTAACTTGATTAATAAATGAAACATGTAATTGAATAATGCATAATCAAATACTAGCTGTTGAGAAACCAGTAACCAGAAACAAGAAAAGGATGAAATCGGTTCATAAAGGGTATAATGAATTGCATAGCGTAAGACCCTTTCTGAGTGTAGAAACTTACTGAGACAATCAACTATTAACCATTAAGACTTAAAAAGAATAAAAAAGGAGGCTGTAGTTGACAGCAACAATGCACAGGGACAATTGTCAAAATTAAAATAATTCTGAAGAAAGTTTATAATCCCAATTTAATCAATAGCTTTCTCTACAGAGAAATAGATAAGTCCCACAAGCTAAGGAAAAAAAACAAATAATAAGATCATGTTAATGTACTTAAAACCATTAGACATCCCATTGTCTTGCTTAGATTCATTAGAAAAAACCCACGCGCACACACACATGCGTGCGCGTTAGGCATCAACATCCAAAGGATTGTTTAAAACAACTCCCACATACAGAGAGATCTTCAAAAGAAAACCCTCAGCCAGCCAATAAGTTGCTCAAAAATAATTTTCCTACAAAATACATATGAATTTTCTCTTTCCAAAATTCTGGAACAAATCGACAAACCATTACAATCTGATGAATGCAACTACAATAGAGATCTCAAAACACACGAATCTCAATCCACTGACAAAATCAATAATTCCCAATACTAACCACTCATCCAATAAGGGGTACCAAAAAAGAAAAAAAAAAATCATAAGTAAAGCAACAAAATAGCAGGAAAATAGAATGTACGACATTCAGCTTCACCATCTAAGAAATTAAATCACCTCAAACAAACAATCAATCACGCGATAATGCAATTACTTTTGGGGACAAAACCCTGAATCATTTCCAGCGGCAGCATAAATGACAATGAACCAAAAACAGAAATTTACAGTACTCTCTATGGATTATTACAAATGAAACAACAACAAGAAGAAGAAGATCAATGGAGCTCACTTGTCCCAATTAATCTCCGTTTGCCCAAATGATTGCCTGCGCTTTCCCGCCGACTCCATCGCAGCTTACCGACAGAAAGTCAAACGCTAGAACAGGAAGTCTAAACGCAAGAACAGAAAGAATACTAACACGTAGAACAAATCATCGTTTCCAATAAGAAAAATGTAGACAGAAATAGCTTAAGCTCAAAAAGTATCTGCAGAGGAGGCTGAGGTTTCTTGTGGAGGAATTAACCCTTAAAACCGCAGTTTTATATTCTAATTTTATATATTATATTTTCTATTTTTAGGGTGGAAATTGGTTTACAGTTTGGCGGAGTACAGGTTTTGGTGGCGGCGATCCTTTGCTGCACCTGATGAATCTGCTTTGATTATTTCAACATTGCAGCTCCAAGCTCGAATTGATAGGCTCCAAAATATAATTTTAATTTTTATATATAATTTTTTATAATTCATATAGTTAAAGTTTGAGTTCGGTTCATTAAGGCTCGAAAGCTCGTTAATGCTCGATTACTAGTTCATTTAGGACTGAACTCGAGCTCGATTATTGATTCGTTAAGGCGGCGAGCTCAAGCTCAAGGTTCGACTCGTTTAGTCCTATTATTTTTCTGATTTGAGAACAAAAATCTATAAAAAAAAGAAAATGTTGAATAAGGTTTTATTTATCGTATTTAATATATTTTATTTTACTTTTCTTTATAAATATCTACGCAAAATATGACTTAATAAAATCAAATAAAATCATTCTATATATAAATACTATCTTTTAGATATTTTGTTACATTATAGAAAAATAGATTAAATATGATTAATAAAATTGTATTCAATTTAAAGTATGCCATTTGAATGACTTATGTTCATGTTTGTAATTTAAAGTATGCCATTTGAGTGTGAAAATATGTATTTGTATTAAAAAAATTACGAACAACTAACACTTAAAAGCATCGTAACATAAAATCCACTTTGAATGGAATAATTTTGAATATGGATTTATTAGTAAAAAAATACTTCTCCAACCTTTGAATTGTCCAAACAAAAACTTACGAATGAGTTCAAGCAGTAAAAGAGAACTGATAATTTTTCCATGGTTCTGAAAACTGAACTGGACCAACCAGTTCAACCGGTTGGACCGAGAACCGGTCTTCATTCCAGTCGAGTTTGGACCATCAAACCGTCCAACATTCAAACCGGTCAAAAATCGTTTGAACCGGTCCAAAACTGGTTGAACCGGGACCAGTTTGAATGGTTCAACGATTCAAGCTTTTGAATTTAAAATTGGTTGATTGTGAAATGATTTAAATAGCACACATTTTTTTACTTGTGTTTCTAATGTGGAATATATTTCATTGATAAAATATTGGGCCTTACAAGAAATATTGTACTCATTAAAAAAATAAACTATTTTTTTAAATTGGACTATTTATTGGGCTATATCTATTCCCAATTTTTTTTAAAAAAAAAAAACAAACAAATTATTGTTGTTTGTTATGTGCATTATTTTTATTTTTTTTAAGAAATAATAAAACTTTGAAATGTGATTTAAAATGAAGATAGGATTGTTTGTATTCTCTCAATTTTGTAACTTAAATGTAAGATTTGTTAGTGGGATTAGGTATATGTAAATTGTGTTTGGAATCTCAACTAGTCATATAAAAGGTCTTAACAAATTTTAGAGTTAAATAACTCATGTCTTTTTAAGACTTTAAAATTTCAAATATGTAAATGACTTTAAAAGTCAAAATTAAATACAATTGAATTTCCAATATACAAATCCTAATGCACTCATCTTAAAGAATCTTAAAACTCTCACTAGTAGTCATCCTAAAATTCAGTGGTGTATCATCCTCATTTTTTTGTTTTTCTTTTTTCCTTTTACCTCTCTCCTGCTTTCTGCATGCCCTTTGTCATCTTCACTATAAAGATGTGAGGTGAAGACAGCCATTTTTTTCAAGAATCTTATAATGGCTACGTGTTAAATTTACATATATATTTTTCTTTTTCATTTATCAAAGACACCTTAGCTCATCTTGACAAGCTTTGCACTAGCTACTCTCTCTCTCTCTACAATTCTGTGACTGATCAAGAAAATTTGCTACTGATAGAACATGGAGTCCTGCTTCAGATCTTCATCGAAAGTCACGGCTTCAACCATTTTGCTGTTTTTCTTGTGTTCTTGCTTCAAATTTACTTCAACAGGTAATTGATTTTCTTTCCTATTTTTTGCTCATTTTGTTCCCAGTTGAGATTTTATCTTTCAATTCTGGTATTGCTCGATGCGAATCTTCTGGCCGGTCCAATTAGTTTGTCGAAAAGTTCGAACCTTTGAGTAGTTGATTCACCATCATCCATCTCTGTCATTATTTTCTTGAAATGTTAATGCTCAATGCATTCATTTTGGTCGGTTATTAAACAGGTCCAATTAGTTTGTCAAAAAGTTCGAATCTTTGAGTAGTTAATTCACCATTGTCACTCTCTGACATTATTTTCTTGCAATGGTAATTCTCAATACATTTGTTTTGGTCGATTATTAAACGGGTTCGATTAGTTTATCGAAAAGTACGAATCTTTGAGTAGTTGATTCACCATAATCGCTCTCTGTCATTTATTTTCGATTAGTTTGTCCAAAAGTTCAAATCTTTGAGTAGTTAATTCACCATTGTCACTCTCTGTCATTATTTTCTTGCAACGGTAATTCTCAACGCATTCGTTTTGGCCGATTATTAAACGGGTCCAATTAGTTGCTGAAAAGTTCGAATCTTGAGTAGTTAAATTCACCATCATCGCTCTCTGTCTTTGATTTCTTGAATTGGATATCAACTCTCTGTATGAATGCAGAACGTCCTGTTACTTTCCAGCTGATACGTAAATTTCATCCTCCCATGATGGATGAATCTTGATTTGAATATTTAATAAACCATGTTGTTCTCATCCTTAACTTGAGTACCCCATTACTATAATCTTGAAAAAAGTATGATTTAAGTCAGTCATTCCTTAATCAGAATCAGGTTCTTATAACATTTAAAGATCAAACAGTATAAATGTTTTAGCTTTTCCATAGGTTCTTACTTGCATTTCGACATNAGATGCCTATGATGCACTCGATCCCAACGGAAACATCACGGTTAAGTGGGATATAATCAATTGGACCCCTGATGGTTATGTTGTAAGTTTCATACGTTTGAGTATTCTCATTAACAATGTTAAACGAGCTTCGATTGTATTGATTATTTGATTTCTCTTTCGAAAACTCACTACAGGCCGTTGTGACCATATTCAACTTTCAACATTACCGTCACATTCAAGCTCCCGGTTGGACTCTCGGTTGGAATTGGGCCAAAAAGGAGGTCATTTGGGGCATGAAGGGCGGTCAAACCACCGAACAAGGAGATTGCTCAAGATTCAAACAAAATATCCCACATTGCTGTAAGGAAGATCCAATGGTCGTGGATCTTTTGCCCGGAACTCCTTACGATCAACAGGTCGCAAATTGCTGCAAAGGAGGCGTGATCGGTTCGTGGGCCCAAGATCCCGCCAACTCAGCCAGCTCGTTCCAGCTCAGCGTTGGTGATGCCGGGTCCTCGACTAAAACAGTTAGTTTGCCGAAGAATTTCACCATGAGAGTCCCGGGGCCCGGGTACACTTGTGGGCCCGCGAAAATCGTGAAACCTTCCAAGTTCGTTTCGTTAGATGGGAGACGAGCTGCACAGGCCATGAGTAAGTTTATTCCGAGGAGTTTTTGTAGTTTTTAAGGTTATGTTTGGTAAACCTAACTGAATTTCGAGCTTATAAGTGATAGCTTATGACTTTGACTGAAAAACTAGCTTATATGATACAAGTGTTTGGTAAAATTATCTAAAATAAAAATTTCAATGGACTTTGTTGAAAAGTACTCTAGGAAGTTTATGAGATAAGTTCGAGCTTTTTAAAAAAGTTCGTTCTAGCAAACCAAGGTTATTTTAATACAAGAAGCTTGTAAGCTAATCGAATAAGCTTTAAGCAAACGTATATGCTTACCAAACACAACCTCAGTGTTTTGAATATCAGTAAATAATGATCTTTAAAGGCGTTGATCTTTATGCAGTGACATGGAATGTTACGTGTACGTATTCTCAGTTTTTGGCTCAAAAAGCCCCGACTTGCTGTGTTTCACTCTCGTCTTTCTATAACGACACAATTGTCCCTTGTCCGACATGTGCTTGCGGATGCCGAAATTCCTCTGCTCAGCATGAAAGCTGTGTGAAGTTAGCTTCCCTTCTAATATTTGCTCTCACATTTTTTTCCTTTTTCTTTTCTTTCACTTTAAATATCTCTACCGATCGATTTCTCTCTTTTTTTTTGCAGTCCAGATTCTCCACAAATTGCACGTCTAGTCCAGTGCACGTCTCACATGTGCCCAATTCGTGTTCATTGGCACGTGAAGCTAAGCTACAAGGAATATTGGCGGGTGAAAGTCACCGTAACAAACTTCAACTACGGAACGAATTATACGCAGTGGAACTTAGTCGTTCAACACCCAAACTTTGATAATCTTACACAGATATTCAGCTTCAACTACAAGCCGCTAACTCCATACCAAACCATAAGTAAGTTACTGAGTTCACTAAAACTCATAAAAGATATTTGCGAAAACACCGTAAAAATCTTCTTATATTATTAGTTTGTTTTGTACAGACGATACTGCATTGTTGTGGGGTGTGAAATTCTACAATGACTTGCTCATGGAAGCTGGCCCTTTTGGCAACGTGCAGTCTGAGCTTCTATTCCGAAAGGACAAATCAAGATTCACGTTCGAAAAGGGATGGGCTTTTCCTAGAAGAATTTACTTCAATGGCGATAATTGTGTTATCCCACCTCCCATTTCTTATCCCTATCTACCAAACGCCGGTTTAAGGAAAAATGTGTCCTTTCTCACTCTAATAATCACTCTGTTTTTATCCGTGTGGCTTTCCATTTAGCACGTGTAATAATCGGAGTTTTTTGATCGAGTGTAATTGTTTTTGTGAAAAAAATGCTACTCTACCTTTGTACTGGTGTGTTAGTAGATTTTCGAGTGCAATGTGATAGTATTAGCCATGTAGGCATGAAAAGTATCGGTTGTTGATCGACTTTTTTCGATTATGGGCTTTTTTTTCTCAAACATGTACGAAAATTTTGAAAACTTGCAAAAATTTAAATGTGTTTTATGTGAAAGGAAAGACGCATATCATTTACCATTCTTTTAATCAGTTTAACCTATGAAAAGGCCAGTGATTAATTACTCATTTCCAAACATTTATAATCAAGCAATCCCTGATAAATATCCCTATCCATACATATAAAAGTGTAGACAGGGCATATAGTTCATGGTGGGCAAAAGATTAATTTGCCAAATAATCAGATTGCATTTATTGCAATTTCCCACCTATGTTTTCAGTATAAAATTTCAACTTCTATTTGGACAATATGAAATAAAAAATTCACCCTTTGTAATCAATCAAGGTACTTAAAAATTCTTACATCCAAATAAAATCAAGAATGTATGACCTGAAAGTATTTATTCCGGCAACAGTCGTTTTTGTTGTTCTTTTCGTGCTAACTTCAACGGTCACAGCCAAGTGCTCCAATGGAACTTGCAGGGTATATATATAGTTTGTTGCTATAGAAAAAAAGAAATAATAATACTTTAATTGAATTTTCAATTGTCATAATAATATATAATTTTGATATGCAGCTAATGGACAATTGCACAAGCCATGAAAGACTGTGGAGTTGAACTATATTGTTATTCTTGTGAAGCTGGGTTCCCTGGATCAAGATGCGTGAGATCAAGAGCTTCAAATTTGTTCCAAATAGTGGTAATTAATATATACATATATTTCTGCATGCATATTTCAATATGAATCATTCAATTATTTGGTGTATGGTTCTTCTTAAAGTACTTTTTAACAAGTGGCATTGATTTTATTTAGTTTTAACATATGCACATGTAATTGATTTGACAGAATAATACTCGGCGTTTAATGAGTACGCGTTTTAGCCACTCACAATTCTTTCGCGATCGAGAGGGAGCCGTCTCGGACGGGCGTCCCAAGAATCACTATCACGAATCAAGAAGACACGATAATCGAGCAACTAAACGTATGCCCCTCGAAAAATCTCATGCATATATATATATATATTATATTTCATCAATTGCTTGTGATTATTGTTGTTATTAATTCTTAATTTTCAATTTTTTTTAGAACGGCGTGCGTGCCTTGATGCTCGACACGTACGATTATGAAGGAGAAGTATGGCTTTGCCATTCCTTCGGAGGCAAATGCCACGATTATATAGCTTTTGTAAGCTCTAGAGTATATAAGTTTTCCGAACTTATGTGTCAGCCAGTTTTACATGTAACATATACAAAACTATGCGGGACGTTGTTGCAGGTACCTGCAATCGAAACTTTAAAGGAAATCGAGAAATTCATGAGGGCAAATCCGTCAGAAATCGTGACCTTATTCTTGCAAGACTATGTGGAGACATCAAAAGTATTGAGCAAAGTGTTCATAAAATCGGGGCTCATGAAGTATTGGTTCCTGATGTCGAAAATGCCGCGGAACGGTCTAATTGGCCGTCCGCACGAGAAATGGCTTCAAAAAACCAAAGATTGATCGTCTTCACATCCTCACAATCCAAGGAAAAGAGCGAAGGAATCGCCTACCAATGGAACTATGTGGTCGAGAACCTATGTGAGTAATGTATATAGCTCTAATATCGACTCACATTTTGTTTTCAACTGACTAGAGAGTTCGAGAATTGAGCTCAAGCGAGAGGTCGGTTTTATAAACCGCACTAACTGAATACGTCACCTAAATAATATATATATAGTTGCTAAAATGGGCTGAGTTGAGTCGAGCTCGAGCTTCTGATACATGAGCCGGAGCTCGAGCTTCTGACACATGAGCCGGAGCTCGATCGAGCCTTTCTCGAGCTGAGATGAGCTTGTTCCGTTAATAAAACGAACACATAAAAGAGCCCAATGTGAGTAACATATATAGCTTTAATATCGACCCACATTTTGTTTTCGGTTGCCTAGAGAAATCGAGAATTGAGCTCAAGCGAGGTTGGTTTTATAAACCGCACTAACCGAATACGTCGATTAAATAGTATATATAGTTGCTAAAACGGGTCGAATGGAGTCGAGCTCGAGCTTCTGATACACGAGCTGGAGCTCGATCGAACCCTTATCGAGCTGAGATGATGAGTTTGTCATGTTAAGAAAACGAGCGGATAAATGAGCTCGAGTATTTAATTTTATTGATTTATTTCAATATTCCCTTTGATAACATTGTTGGTTATACTTATTTTATCAGATGGAGATGATGGGACGATACCAAGAATTTGTGTCAACCGGCAAGAATCATCCGATCTCAAAGACAAAACTAAACATTTGTTACTTGTGAACTATTTCAAGCCAATCCCTAGCAAAAAACTTGTGTGTGTTCAAAACTCGGAGGACCTCATTACCATGCTAAAAACGTGTCACAGTGCCGCCGGCCAAAGGTGGCCTAATTTTGTGGCCGTTGATTTTTACAAGGTAAATTAAATAATAAACTAGATTCTGGTGCATCTTTTTGTAAATTTTGTGTCTCCATGTTATACATTATTAGATATGCATTTTTAATTTATGCAAAATTGAACATATGTATACATGACAACATAAGCTTCACGGTTGCAGAAAATGCCCTCTCACTAATCAAATCATAAATAAGTTGCCCGAAAGCATGAATCGATGGACATATTTTTGTATTTTTTCTTTTATTTTTGCAATTAATTATTGATTAGTTTTTAATAGCATGATTTTTTATTTCTAGGGTATATTGTGCTCGGTTTTTTATTAATTGGTAGATATTTTTTACAATTACAAAAGTTGCTGGTCAAATTTATCATATGTCCATGAGCTTATTTTATATGATATCTTAAATTTAGGTAAATTGTAAAATATTTTCAATAACTCAGGGACATATAAATTTCAATGAAAATTCCAATGAAAATATATTACCGTAAAATTTTACATTGTAATAACTCATTGAAATATATTACCATGATGATATATTCCGTTGGAATATAACAATTATGTGTTGGAATAACTCATTGTAAAATCCGTTGTAAAATTTTATTAACAATTTTATGGTATAATTGTTATATTCCAGCGGTAACAATTATGTGTTGGAATATATTACCGTAGTGATATATTATGTAAAATCTTAAAGAAAGATTTTCCGTTATAAAATTTCAATTTTACCATAGTGATATTTTACATTGAAACATATTACTGTAAGATTTTTCGTTGGAATATAACAATTTTTTTGTCCTGATATGATGATATAGCAATTGTGTCCAGTAAATTACTTGATTGGGCATATTTTATAGAATATTCTAAATTTAGACAAGATGCAAAATATTTCCAATAACTTGGGACATATGATGTGGGAGTAATTGTGTCCAGTAAATTACTTGAATGCAGAAAACGAAAACTAATTAATCAGACAACGGACATTTGTATGCTAGTTAATTAGAGAATGAACATTTTGTCCAAAAATATGAGCAAGTGGATATTCTTACCATTTTTTGCAATTAATTAGTATATATTTTGCACGATTTTTTTTTTTTTTTTGGACACAGTGTGCTCGACTTTGTTAGTTAGTAGACATTTTCTTCCATCACAAAAGTACATGAGCATATTTTATAATTTTCACTCAAATTTATAATAATCTTTAATTAATTCAAGTTGGCCACCTTAAAACCATGATAAACCAGTGATTATTATTATTAATTTTTTCTTTATCCCAAAATTATTTGATGGGTGATTTAGAGGAGCGAGGGAGGCGGAGCTTTTAAAGCCGTGGACACTTTGAATGGGGAGTTGTTTTGTGGGCGCAAAGACGTGCATGAATGTGAAAGTTCGAATTTTTTTTTGCGAAAAAAATACATACTTGTTATTTTGTACCTGCCAGAATTACAAATTGAAAAGAAAAATCTTTTTTCTATTTCGTAATAGATTTGAATTTACCACAACAATAACAACAAACGAATCGGCACTAGTAGAGTTTTTATCTTACACAACTCTGCACAACATATTGTGTCAATTCTTCCCGAACTTTATTTACTTGCCCCTTAGATAATAACGTACTTGTAAGTGTCGGTTCTAGTTCGGAACCGAAATCGCCAGTTCAAAATTTGTAAGTGTTTGAACTGGAATCAGCCCAGGTAAAATTATAGACCGGCTTGACCCCTGATCACGTCTATCTGTAGATTTCTCAATCGCTATCATGTGTAGATGTCGACAGCTAATGTAGAGCTATAACGATTTGCGGGGCGTGATCCTTAAGATGAAAGTAGAGATGAAAATACTTGATGCTATGTAAAAACTTAAGCCGTTTATTAGGTATAAATGACTGGTCAATGGTACTGACCAAGTTCATTACTGGTGCAGACTTGCATATATGGAAATGTGGAGTAAAAGTGTGTTGATGTAGTTTATGTGAGACTTGAGAGAGACAAAAAAATTGGGGATTACATGAACAATAGTGTATTTTCTGACTTTCTTGAGTGGAATAAAATGGGTTGAAGAACCGAGCATTACTACCTAAGAATCATTTTGTAAAGCGTCTCTTTCGTTCTTTTTCTGCTGAAGGTGTGGCAACTACGCGCTTCCTATGACCAGAAATCTTATCGTAAGCAGATGATGCACAAGTACCTTGCCAGGCTCAAGCTAATGTTAAACACTCTTCAAATTCTGATACAATCAACTGGAAAAATAATCACAAGTATCTTGCCAGGCTCGAGCTAATTAGGCTATATCGTCAACCGAATCCTTCCTCTGGATGAGTTGTCTCCATGTCTTTTTTATCTTCTTTCAGTGGTAATGTTTGGAATTTTTTTTATCAATATTTTTAATGTATTTCAATTAGATCAAGGGCCGATATAGGCTTATTCCAGCACAATTCATTCTAATTACATAAATACACATAACTTGTATTTATGTAATGAAATAGGTATTGTAAAGTGCACTAGGTAATTTCCTCTACAAATTGCTTAAATTTTCACAAGTTTGGGCCTCAAATTCGTGCCTAATTCAACAAAGACGTCAATATGAGCTAAATTATATGTAATTCCAGTTTTATAATAGAAACCTTTTAATGACAGAATTGTAAAATCACAAAAATAATATCCGAGAAAATCGAAAAACTCAATAAAAATAGAAGGGAAATATCTGAAATATAAGTCTTCCATCCATTCATTTAGGAGTAGTCTGACATTTAACAATTTTAAATAGAGAATATAAGATATCTAGTACTTCAAGATCTCGGTCATAAGTCTTAACAACTCAAAGTCAAATGTTTGAAATCGAAAGAAATGAGCGGCATCTACTTCAAACTTCGGTTCCCTCGGACAAAATCCCTTAGATCCGACCTTTGTTAGTTCCCACCTTCGTTACTTCCCTTAGATCCGGTCTCTTCGGAAAAATCCTGGTTCAAAATAGACAAGTTAGCTATTATATGAGAAAAATAAAACTGAAATGAGAAAATATTTTGTTAGGAAAAGGATACACTTCATTCAGCTTCTTTGTGTGGTATTATTCAAACATTTCAATGCATATAATTTTTAAGATATCATCAAGTGAAGCAAGAAATTTCATTTTCGACGTGTAATATGAGGGTACAAAGAGCTATTTTAGGGAACAAATTAAATTAGACTTGTGTACTTGAATTAGAAATTTAAAATTGATGCTATACCTAACAACATTAAATTTCAACTACTTTTTAGAAATCTCTAAAAATGAATTAGAAATTTAGAATTGATGCTATACTAACAACATTTTAAAACTTTCAACTACTTTTTATAGAAATTTTTAAAAATTTAGAGGTATTTAATTTGGACCTTCTAAAGTCCTATAAAATAATAAGATATTCATCTCATTTTCAATTCCTTTCAACTTATGACATTTTTTTAACATAAATTAAAAAAAATTGTTGATCAATTAATTACATAAAATAAACTTAGTTTGTGGAGAGGTTTCATACTAGAGAATGTATGTGCGCTTTGAGGGCTTTCTGTTATAGACTCTGGTCAATGGTCAAATGTTTAAACATAAAAAGGAAATATGAAAATTTCACTTACGGCTGGCATGTCTCGTCTGATCTACGAGGACCCCTAGTGGTGGCGCGGTTAGAAAAGAGTTGCTCTACGCGGAAGGGACCATTTACAAACGAATTGCTCCCGTTGTGTACCAGACATTGACTTGGGTAGTCAGAATTAAAAAAAAAAATTGTTTAAAAACAAATTAAAATTAAATTAGTACATAATTCATAACTAATTTAAACAAAACATGTTTACCTGAAAGATCTACCCAAAAATCCACAGATCTACATCCCATAGATCGAAAAGAAAACATGAATTATGATAAAGATTGGATCCCAGAACAACAAAAAAAAAGAAAAAAAAAATAGGGACGAAGAAATATAAAAGTGGGAAGCCAAGAAAAAAAAGAGAGAGTTTTGTGGAAGACGAAGAACGGAGGAAAAAAAGAGAGAGAAGAGAGACGAAAAAAAATTTTGTGGAAGACGAAGAACGGAGGAAAAAAAGAGAGAGAAGAGAGAGGAAAAGAAGTTTTGTGGAAGAAGAAGAAAGATGAGTTATGACAGCAAAATTACAAACCCTACTTGGGAGTTGGGACAATATAAAGAAAGAGTGTTCATTTTTACCGCACCTATTTTTACTATTTACCGCACCTTTAAAATACTGTTTTGCTCTTATTGAAAAATAATAATAAAAAATTCAATTTTTAATTTTTTTTTTTAAATGTGGCCAAAAAATATATTATCTTATAAATTGATAAATGTGGCCAATCATATGAATGTTATAACACAAAATTCGAAAAAAAAAAAATCATAAAATTCGAACAAAATTCAAAAAAAAAAAAAAAACTAGAAAAATTCGAAAAATTCGAGCAAAATTCAAAAAAAATCCAAAAATAATCACGGCTTTTAAAATAATCGATTTTAAAAGTGTCCACGGCTTTAAAAGCTCCAAATTACCTTAGCTTTTAAAATAATCGAGTTTTTTTGCAAATACAACTCTCTTCGGCTTGTGAAAGTTCGACTTAATTTAATCAAACTTATTTATTAAGTGAGTTGAACAGAGTTTGTTCACGAGTAAATTCTTTATTATTATTTTTTATTCTCTAATGAAACAACAAACTTTTAACATCCGAACACTTCATGTTTTTCATACACTTCATTTAAGGTTTGATGTTTACGAGACGAATCAAATTTTCATAATTTCACGAGCTTACACGAATCGATTCGAGTTGAATCGGTTCTGTTATTAAACAAGCATAATCTTGAACATGATTTATTAAAACAAGCATAATCTTGTACATGAGCTATTAAACAAGCAAAATATTACGATACACCCTTACCCTTAATGGTCACATGTCAAAACCGTTAATGGTCACATGTCAAAACCGGCAGCTTTTGAAATTTTCCCAGCTGATCAAGGCTGAAACTTGAAATTGAACACCATTTTGCATAAACACTACAGTTGCAATAAAATATTTTTGCATATTTCCTGAACGGCAGCTTATATTACCGATTCGCTTCCATCTCCGGTCAATTTCAAGATTTTCAACAAAATCCCAAAATCCGCGATGTAAACCTTAACCTCCTCAAGCAACGAAAGCCGCCTGGTAAAATCCGTGTGCGCCATTGTAATTAAGGGTTATTGGGACAGAATCTTGAAACAAAAAATCGGTTCTTTAGTGACTTCATCCGTCACGAGCCAAGCAATACTGAACCTCTCTTCTCACGGGTTCTCATTTTCATGGCCGTTTTTCAAATGGGTCGAGGCCATTCCCCAGTACAAGCATTCCCTTCAATCCTGCTGGATCATGATTTGCGTTCTAACACAGCACCGACATTTCAGGACCGCTCAGAGCTTGCTCGAAAAAGTTGCCCGCAGGGAATTCTTTTCTTCCCCGCGTTTTGAACGCACTTGTGGGTAGTTATGGTGACCCGGATGTGAATTCTCATGTTTGAGCTGGCTGGTAATTTTCTGTGCTAATTGAAAAACAAATGGAGATGCACTCCAAGTGTTCGATCATATGCCTGTGTGTGGATATAAGCCTCATTTGCACGCCTGCACAGTGCTTCTCAATTCCCTGGTCAAGGAGAGGTTGACCGATACCGTTTGGAAAACTTACAAGAAAATAACAAAAATCGGGGTCGTTCCCAATTTGCACGTTTACAATGTCTTGATTCATGCTTGTTGTTAATCGGGAGATTTCGAGAAGGCTGAGGGTTTCTTGAATGAAATGGAGTCGAAAAACATTTTTCCCGATCTTTTCACGTATAATACTCTAATTTCAATGTATTGCAAGAAAGCAATGCACTACGAGGCCTTGTGTGTTCAAGAAAGGATGAAAATAAGCGGAATATCTCCCGATATCGTGACTTATAACTTGCTCATTTATAGCTATTCTAGAGAAGGCAGAGTGAGAGAGGCTTTGAGGCTATTCAAAGAAATTAAAGGCGGCGTTTTACCAAACCACGTGACATATACTACTTTGATAGATGGGTTCTGCAGAGCTGGCGTTTAACGCTATTTTAAGAAGGTTGTGTGAGGAAGGCCGTATACAGGACGCAAATAGGCTGTTGAATGAGATGGGCGAAAGAAAAATCGAGCCTGATAATGTGACTTGCAACACATTGATAAATGCCTACTGCAAGATTGGTGATATGAGGTCTGCATTGAAGGTTAAAGGTAAAATGATTGAAGGAGGATTAAGGCCCGACCAGTTTATGTACCGGGCTTTGGTTCACGGGTTTTGCAAGGTCCGTGAGGTGAATAATGCTAAGGAGATGCTATTTGATATGATTCGTGCAGGATTTTTTCCGAGCTCCTGCACATATGCGTGGCTCGTGGATTTTTACTGCGGTGACAACGATTTTGACGGTATTTTGAGATTGCCTGCCGAGCTGGCAGGAAAGGGAATCCTTGTTGATGTCAGTGTGTATCGGGCGATTATTCGGAGGCTGTGTAAGCGAGAGAGAGTTGATTGTGCGGAAAAAGTGTTTATGGTTATGCAAGAAATGGGGATATTAGGAGATACTGTGATTTGTGCGAATATGGCTTACGCGTATTTTAGAGGTGGTGATGGTAGTTCTTTTTCGGCATTTTTGGATGAGATGTATCGAAGGAGATTGATGGTTACACTCAAAATCTTTAGGAATATTAATGCTTCGTATGCAAATGATAGGGACTGTTTGGATATGTTTTGGAGTGCTCTGCTCGATCGAGGCTTGATTTCCAAGAGTAAAACAAACAGATGCAACAATAGAAGTATGTGAAAGCACTTTCTCTATTTTTGCCAGAAAATTATATACTTGGCGGTGAAAAATTCGAGAGAAAAATTTTGTTATCGAACCCGAATCCTGTTTATTTATGTCATAGCTATATACACAGTAGTTATAGCAAAAGATTTGTGGTCTTGTGACCATGTGGTAATTCTTTTCCTGATGTTCATCTTTTAATTGCGCTTGCATTTTCATCTGGTTCTCCNATTTTAGAGTTCTAATATTGGAGAAGATAAATAAATTGTCAATTTCGTGTATTTTGATAAACAACTTGTCAACTTTAAAATTTGATATGACAAAGTTAAAAAACAATTTTTATTTTTGGAGGTTAAAAAAAAAAGAACATTACCATTTTTATTTTTATTTTTTCAGTTGAGGGACTTCTAAAAGCAGCCAAAAAAGTAACCAACATAATATTTTTTTATTTACTGATCAAAATAAATTTCTGAAACTCCAATTTTTATGGATCAACGCCCGTAAGTAAATTTTACTTTTTGTGTTATTTAAATTACCCTATTGTTTCACCTAATTATTATTTATAAAATCATATGAATTTGTGTAATAATGATTTAATGCGAAATACGAATTCCCTTAACTTTGTAGGGACGATACTCTGGAGGAATTATTGCTTCAGGATTGTGAGGATACATAGATAGCTAGTATATATATAATTGGATTCTTATTAATATTATATTTGGTCTTCTAAGAGATCAACACATCTGTTTCTTAAATTTGTATCATTAAATTTATAAGTATACACAAATTTATAGTGCTCTTATACTTCATACATAGACTATATGTCAACCAAATTTAAACATGGTTTATTGTGTTTAGTTAATGTTTTGGATTAAATTAAAAACTTTAGGATAGAGAATGCCATAGTTTCTATTTTATTATTTGGTATGTAACGGTTTGCGAAACATTAAACGATTTATGTATTTAAGGCTAGTTCAGACAGATTGACAATCAAGTAAATTTTGTTTAACTAGTAATACATTTTGTGCATATGTTACGTGTACAAGTTATGCAAAGAATAATATGAATTCATGTGTAAAAAAAAAATTATAATATGTATCACATTTATAATTGAATTGTTATATTTACTATCCTTAGCTCAATTTCTATATTTCAACAAAGAAACAACAAGGTAGATTTGGAATTTGTAGGAATGTACAAAAATGATAGGAAAGAATTTTTGTAAGAATGGGAAAGAACAGGTGCAGTCTCACGCACGTGACGCGCACCATGATAGGGTAAGCCAAGATGTGCCTTAGTAATGTGGTATTATATTCTAAGACGCCTCGCACTTGTGAGTCCTTCATACGAAACCCAAGAGTGAACCTAGATGTGCCTTAATGATGTGGTATAATACGCCCTCTCACTTGTGAGTCCTTCATACGAAGGACAAGCCCAACTGAGCTGCTCACTTGTGAGTCCTTCATACGAAGCCCAAGTCTAACATGCGTGAGTTGTTCACTTGCGAGTCCTTCATACGAAGCCCAAGCCAACTGAGCTGGGTGCCGGGTACGTCATCGCACGGTCCCACGTAGAACTTGCGGGCCATCGCAAGTGAAGAGCATCATGACATAGTGAGTCTAGATGAGTGTTCATTCTTAAAACCAAATGGTGGTAGGAGGAGTATAAGATAGGCCTATTTTTCCTTTAACATACAACAATATTTAATTAAGATTTTAAATTTTATGACCATTATTTTGATAAGGACATAAATTTGTGAGTGGTTTCTAAAATATTTAAATTTTTCCAATCCTTATAAACAATTGTAACAGATATCAGTCATAACTCATCATGAAAAATATTGCAATTATTTGATATTATAGAATTGAGATTGATTCATACGGAAAAATAATAGGAATTAATATTTTGAATGCACAGATGATCATTGATATATGTACAATTTTTATTCAAATCGATATATTTTTTAAAAAATCAAGCTAGTTATTTTAATTTTTATAATAATATGCAAAACTATATCGTAAGATCGGAATCCGAAACTATCTAAGTGAAGAAACTATTGAATTCCAAAAGCATATCGTAACGATTGGGAAGAAAGGTTGTGTAGAAACACAACTTTTGAGTGAATTCCAAAACCGATTGGGAAGAAAGGTTGCGTAGAAACACAACTTTTGAGTCACAATGTGCATTTCTTATTACTCGTTTCCTTTTCCTCCCTATAAACTAAGTTTATTTTATGTAATTAATTAATTAACAATTTTTTTAATTTATGTTCAAAAATGTCATAAGTCAAAGAGAATTGAAAATGAAATGAATATCTCATTATTTTATGGAACTTTAGAAGGTTCAGATTGAATACCTCTATATTTTTTAAAAAATTTAAAAAAAGTAGTTGAAAGTTTTAAAATTAAATGTAGTTGAGTATAGCATTAATTCTAAATTTCTAATTCATTTTTTAGAGATTTATAAAAAGTAGTTGAGAGTTTTAAAATGTAGTTAAGTATAGCATTAATTCTAAATTTCTAATTCATTTTTTAGAGATTTATAAAAAGTAGTTGAGAATTTTAAAATGTAGTTTAAGTATAGCATCACTTTTAAATTTCTAATTCAAGTGCACAAGTCCAATTTAATTTCCCTAAAATAGCTTTTTTAACCCTCATATCACACGTCGAGAATGAAATTTCTTGCTTCACTGTTATGTTTCATTTTGTATTACACTCCGATAAATAATTGACACGTATACAAATATTATAAACTCCCACTCTTCGGATGAAATTTTAGAGCGAAGAATCTATTATTATATTAAAAGAATAACCTTTTTATGATTTCCCGCCAAAATTATTATTTTCCCTCCAAAAACATTAAATGCCCGCCAAAATTATTATTTTTCTTCTAAAATCATTAAATACCCGCTAAAATCATTATTTTCCCTCTAAAATCATTAAATAAATAGTGATATAGTGTTAACAAAAAAACCGACGCTGGTTTTTGTGATGTTTTTCTTTTTCCTATTTTGTTAGGTTAACAAAATAATACATGCGAGGTTTTTGTGATGGTTCCCTTTTTCCTATTTTTTAGGTTAACAAAATAATAGATATTGTGTTGATTTGTTTCACTTTTCATTTAAACTTCTTAGGCAGAAATTTTGAAATATTATATTTGATTTAATGTGTATATATTTTTTTTTTCCTTTTTTTTTGACCGAAGGTATTTATTAAATTAGCCTTATAATATTTCAGTTACTTTAATTAAACAAATTGTTTAGACATTTGTTTTTTACATATTCGTCTATATATACACATATACACATATACATAATTGATGTTAAATTTAATTATTTGTGGACATGCTTTTTTTGCAAAATAGTCTAGAATTTTTTTTTTACATAATGTTAAATTCAAATGTTTTTAGATATGTTTTTTTTTAAAATTGTTTAGAAAAGTTGTAGGCGACTTATATATTTTAAAAATAATATAGAAAATTTTGAATACTTTTACATATACTAATATAATATTTTAGGTATTTTCAATATTAAATATACAAATTTTATATTCTATTATACAAAATAATGTAAAATTTATATTCTCTTATACAAAATAATTTTACATTGTCTGACCCCGACACTTTAATATATAATTATTATTTTTTCTTCCCCTTTTTAAATAGGATCAATAGTAGTTTCCACTTTCGCCATTGAGTGACTCAAACTTGAGGTATATTTATAATATTGTTAATGTAATATTGTTACCGTGCATCGCACGGGTACACACTAGTTAAACAGTATCGAACCATCAAACCACCATGGCCCCAAATTAAAAAACCAAAAACAAAACAATAATAAAAATAACAACAACAAAAATAGCATAAGGCACCCCATTAAAAATCGGGTCAACACCCTTATTACCAACAATCAATCTCCACACCCATGCAAAACAAGTGCCGGCCCCAACGCTAAACACTCACCCTTTATATATAAGTTACATAACCACACTCTCTTCCATCTTCCAACAAGAAACTACACTCCCACAAAAATTGCTCCTACTCCCAAAACACGCTTTTCTCCTCGCCACCATGGCCCCACCTTTGAAAGACGAGCTCGACATCGTGATCCCGACTATCCGCAACCTCGACTTCCTCGAGATGTGGCGGCCCTTCTTCGAACCCTACCATTTGATCATCGTCCAAGACGGCGACCCGAACAAGACCATCAAGGTTCCTGATGGCTTCGATTACGAGCTCTACAACCGAAATGATATCAACCGAATCCTTGGCCAAAAGGCCTCGTGCATCTCCTTCAAAGACTCCGCGTGCCGGTGCTTCGGCTACATGGTCTCCAAGAAGAAGTACATCTTCACCATAGATGACGATTGCTTCGTAAGTCAATTTGTTTGTTTGTTTTGTGTGTTTTTGTTTTTTTCGGAACTTTACGAACGAAAAATGCATTAATGTGGTAATATTAGTAAATAGTATTCTTCTCATTCGGTAAAAGATGAAATATAACCATGGAAATATGAATAATAACCATTTTCTCATCTCCACACTTTTTTCTTTTCCACTCAAAAACCATTTCTAGAGTTCCGGAAATGATTTCTAGTACTTTAGAGAATATTTAAATAATATATTGGATTATATAATCAATTTTTGGAATTTCATAAATGGTTTCTAGAACAGATAAATAAACAGTGTCTTGGATTTTACAGTTAATATCTGGTATTTAGAAACGGTTTTCTTTTTTTGGGTATCGAATATTATACATTATTTTTTATTAAAAAATCTGGGAGTTGAGAGTAAGGGTAAGTGTATCATTTCACACATGAGAAAATGATTATTATTCATACTTTCACAAAAAGTGACTATATTTTATCTTTGCATTTACTACTTAGCGGCACTGATGCGTAATTTACGTGATCAGGTCGCCAAGGACCCGACGGGCAAGCAGATCAACGCGTTGGAGCAGCACATCAAGAACCTGCTCTGCCCATCGACCCCGCTTTTCTTCAACACGCTCTACGAACCTTTTCGTGAGGGAGCCGATTTCGTGCGAGGCTACCCTTTTAGCCTAAGGGAGGGCGTGCCCACGGTCGTGTCGCACGGCCTATGGCTCAACATTCCCGACTATGATGCCCCGACCCAGCTTGTCAAGCCACTCGAGCGAAACACCAGGTAATTAAGTAAATAGATTCATTTGTCTCGTCCCTATTAATTATAAATCACTCCGAATTTTTGTTTAGTGTGATTCTCGGTTATGGATCTTTTTCATTATTTTTTAGGTATGTTGATGCGGTGTTGACGATTCCAAAAGGCACGTTGTTCCCAATGTGTGGCATGAATTTGGCGTTCGACCGAGATCTCATAGGCCCGGCTATGTATTTCGGGCTTATGGGCGATGGGCAACCGATCGGACGTTACGATGATATGTGGGCCGGTTGGTGTGTCAAGGTACAACAATCAATCATATACTTATCTATTATATTGTGTAACATTGTTATGTAACACATCACATGTATACTCTATAGTAATAATAAAGACGTGTGATCATTAAAATGTCCTTTTAGGAAAATCCGATAAAATTGGAACGCTACAGAGAAGATTAGCATAGCTCCTGTGCAAGGATATGACATAGATAATTCGGGAAATAGTCCATTATTAAGAAAAAAAAAAAGTACTAGCAAAATTTCAAAAATTGACAAGGATGACGCACATAAATCGACAATTTTTTGATACATTTGATGAAAATTTTAGGTGATATGTGATCATCTGAGGCTAGGCGTGAAAACGGGCTTGCCGTACATCTGGCACAGCAAGGCAAGCAACCCGTTCGTGAACCTAAGAAAAGAGTACAACGGCATATTCTGGCAGGAGGAGATAATCCCCTTCTTCCAGAATGCCGTACTCTCCAAGGACTCGACCACCGTGCAAAAGTGCTATATCGAGCTTTCCAAGCAGGTTCGGGAGAAGCTCGGGAAAATCGACGAGTATTTTGTCAAGCTGGCGGATGCCATGGAGACGTGGATCCAGGCATGGGACGAGCTCAACCCGGCTAGTAAGAAGAGTTAGACGGGTCGGGTTTTTTTTTTTTTTTATGTTCCACTTGTTTTAGGGTGTTTACTAATTTACTAGTATGCTATTTGTTTGAGCTTGTGGCTAGTTTAGGCTTTCCTCTACAGTTTTCTATCATTTTTTTTATTTTGGTGTTTAGTTTTAAGGACATTGTCACATTGATGATCCTAATGAATAATTGACCAAAATAGAGTTGATTGCAAATTTGGTCCCGTTAGATTGGGACATTCGCAATTTTAGTTCCAAGAGGCGCAATTTCAGTCCTTACCTAATTTTTGTTGCACAATTGGTCCCAAATCTAACTGACCGTTAAGTCATCGTTAACTCTAAGGACTAAAATTGCAATTGTGGGACTAAATTTGTAATTTTCTCATATTTGATATATATAAAATAACTTTTCATTTTTTTTTATTTTTTATAATTTTATTCACCTCTAGAGTTATATTTTTATTTTTTATCAACCACTATAATCATAATAAAATTAAATGATGATTTTTTAAATATATTTATTATTTAATTAAAAATATTTGAAATATAGAAACATTGTATTGCAATTAAAATTTTTAATATATTAATAATGATATAAATTTAATTTTATTTGAATTTATATATATCAAATATATTTAAATTTATATTTTCTATATTAAAACATATATAAATATTTTTGTTATATATCAAATATGAATTTAAAAAATATGAATTAATAAAAAATATTTTTGTCATATATCAAATATGAATTTAAGTTTATATTTGTGTTATATTAAAAATATATATAAATATGAATTTAAAAAATATATCAAATAATAAAATTGACCAGTCCGATCAACCAATTTAAAATTATATATCAAATATATCAAAAATAAAAATATACAAATATGAATTTAAAATTATATATCAAATACACACACACACACACACACACATATATATACATATATACAATTGACCAATCTGATCAACCAATTCTGACTGGTTCATTGAAAACCAGTCTTTCAAATGAATATCATTTAACCGATTCTAAAAATTAAAAATAATAGTAGTTGATTTTATTTTTATTTTTATTTTACGTTTTAAATTTTTATTAACTTCTAAAATTATATTTTTATTTTTTATCATCCAATATAATTATAATAATATTAAATAATTTTTTTGTAAATATATTTAATATTTAATTAAAAATATTTTAAATACATAAACCATAATAATATAAATTCAAATATATTTGAATTTATATATATCAAATATATTTAAACTTATATTTTTTTATATTAAAAAGTATAAATATTTATTAACTTATTTAAATATATATATTATTGACCAGTCCATTCAACTAATTCTAATCGGTTCATTGGAACCAATCCGTTTAAAGGAATCAAACAGTTTAGTTGACCAATTATCGATTCAACAACAAGTTTGGCCGAGCTTTCAACCAATAGTAGTTGGTATTACTTTTATTTTAATTTTTATTTATAAATTTTATTAACCTATAGAATTCTATATTTCTAATAAAATTAAATAATTATTATTTTTTAAATATATTTATTATTTAATAAAAATTAATTTTAAATATAGAAAACATTGTATATCAATTATTATTTTTTGTCTCAAAACTAAATTTTTATTATCAAATATTGTTATATACACACGGAATAAAAATTGCAACAAAAATAGTAATAAAACTATTTTTTTTAATATTTGGGACTAAATTTACAACAAAACCAATCTTATGGGACTATATTTGCAATTTTTTCAATATTTATGACTAATGACAAACGGTGACTTAATGTTCAGTTAGATTTGGGACCAATTGCGCAACAAAAATTAGTTAAGGACTGAAATTGTGCCTTTTGGGACTAAAATTGCGAACGTCCTAATCTAACGGGACCAAATTTGCAATTAACACGACCAAAATAAGTAAGTTTAATTGTTTTTGGTTGAATTGTCATTTGTACTGCAGTTTTCTGTCTTTTATAGCTATGATCTGATGTTTCAAAGACTGAGTTTAAAATTGGTATGTGTAAGAGGAAAAAGAAATGAAATGTAGTAGATATTGAAATGCATACTTATGCATAGTAGATTAGTAGGGTAGCTAGGATTCAAATATGGAGGGCTGATTTCGACATTTAGTTGGTATTGCAACGCATATTTTTCATGATAATTATTCTAAGTTTTTCTTTTTCAAAACACCATTTAATTATTAATTAATTTAGATATTTGTGTATGTAGTTTATCTTACAAAGATAGTTCAACTTAAGGTTTAGAAAAGGTGGATATGTTTTTTCAAATAAAATAGTTTAAGGATGACTTAAAGTAGGCTTACATATCGTAGCAAAACAAACTTCAGGCCCAATAAGAGCTCAAAATTAAAACAAAATCATCTGTTGCCAATCGAAAAGAAAACTTACATGGGCCATGGCTCGCCAAAAATATTGGCCCAATAAGTGATTTAAGAAAAAAAAATCAAAAAATGAAAAAGGAATCGCCGTTGCCGGGGATCGAACCCGGGTCACCCGCGTGACAGGCGGGAATACTCACCACTATACTACAACGACTTGGTTGCCATAAGCTTCGCATTAAATTAGATGATTATTAATTTTCCACACCAACAACAAACACAAATTTGGTGCGCGGTAAAGTTTCAAGTTGACATTTGTTTCCGAAGCATACTTTCTATATAGCATCTGGGAAACTAAAATTCAAAAAAATAACGTTATCAAAAAACTTTTATACCATCAAAATCTTGCTTTTTATATCATCAATGTGCAATCAATATTTCAAATACAATCACGAAAATCCATCTCCAAGTCCAAACTCCAAACCACAGGAGAAAAAAAAAAAGAG